AAAAAAAAAAAAAAAATTCTAAATACATACTCCAAAATATAATACAGCAGAGATGTGACTACCACACAAATGTAACATATTTTAATAGGTCAAAACTATTTAGACCTATTGCCATATTGGACCTATGTTGTCCAACATGGCAGCCACTAGCCACACGGGGCTCTTGAGCATGTGAACTGGAGCTAGTCTGAATTGAAATGTCCTCCAAGTGAAAAATTCACACTGGATTTCAAAGCCTTAGTATGAAGAAAATAAGTAAAATATCTTATTAATCACTGTTAATGTAATTACATATTTAAATGACAATATTTTATATGCCAAATTAATAAAATACATTAAAACTGTCTTAATAAGACTATCAAAAAATTTTAAATTATGCATGTGGCTCACATTGTATTTCTATTGGACAGCACTGGTTTAGATTACTGAAGGCCGAGAAAGGGGTCTTATCTACATATTGCTCAGATACCGCTTTGAGTATGGGATTAAGGGCAAGTGGAGCCCTTTGGACCAATCTTGTCTCATGATGTCCTGAAATTTCCATTTCTATAGCTGTTAAAATAATATAGTTATTTTCTATCCCAGACCCCAAAATATATTATTTAAGTTTTGAGAATTTTCATGATTACATAACGTTTTTGAAGAGACAGGAAACAGGATTTGAAGCAACGTAAGAATTAGGAGGAAAGAAAAGGGCCCCTGGATATTGATTGGTAGAGGCAGAGACCCGTATTTTCTGTCTATCCAAAACCTAATAGATTGCCAAGTACTTTTCCCACAGAAGCATTCTAAATCCATTTAATCCATAACTTGAATCAAAATTTGAAAGTGAACTTTCCTTTAGTCACATTTTAAAGAAACAGGCAAAAATACTTTTGTATAATTGCTCATATATATTTGCATATTCAATCTATTTTCTTTCCTTTTTTGTGGGGGGGAAGAGATAGGGTCTCGCTATGTTGCCCAGGCAAGTCTTAAACTCCTGGTCTCAAATGATCCTCCTGCTTCAGCCTCCCAGAGTGTTGGGATTACAGGTGTAAGCCACCACCCCCGCCACATGTAATCTATTGATTCCCAGCACTGGCTTCAGTGTTACCTTAGCTTGTCACTGTAGCTTTTCTGGTCCATTTGTAGTAGTAATCAGAATAATTGTTGTTGGAAGGGGAATTTTTGGTTTTTAAAAAAGCTAAATTAACAAATATACACTGAGAATATATTGCAACAACAGAAAAATTATTATGAAAATATTCATTGGAACCAAGTCATAAGAAAAAAAAAGAAAATAGTTTCTCTGGGTCTTTGGATTGACTAAAATCATTTTGTTCATACTAGTCCTTGCCTATAAGGCTGTCTTTCCATAGCATCAGAATTATATTTACAACTGCAGTATTAAATATGCAAGATTATTAACTCGGATGGCAGTTTCTCCATTTATATATTCAGGTTAAATAACCACTTAAAATAGTCACATTCTTTTAAGTTGGAAAAAAATACTACCTTTAAAGAATATTTCTTTTTAAAAAAGCAGTTTCAGGGCCAGGCACAGTGGCTCACGCCTGTAATCCCAGCACTTTGGAAGGCCAAGGAGGGGAGATCACTGAGATCAGGAGTTTGAGACCAGCCTGGGTAACACGGTGGAACCCCGCCTCTATTAAAAATACAAAAATTAGCCAGGCATGGCGGCGAGCATCTGTAGTCCCAGCTACTCGGGAGGCTGAGGCAGGAGAATCACTTGAACCCGGGAGGCAGTGGTTGCAGTGAGCTGAGATCACACCATTGCACTCCAGCCTGGGCAACAGAACAAGACTCTATCTCAAAAATAAAAGTAGTTTTAAAACGGAGAGACAACTTATTTTTTTAGTTGACATAAAATTTTAAATAGTAGAAAAGGGTAAAATAATGAAAAGTTATTTTCCGTCTCCCACAGATCTTATTCCCCTAATCCCTGTCCCTAGAAACAGCCACTGTTAGAAGTATCTTGGGTATCATTCCCAGAAATATTCTATGTATTTACAAGCATACAAAAATCAATATAACCACAGATGAATATGAAAATGCATGTACAGATATATAATCCCTTAAATACAATGTGCTATATCCATACAAAGTAACATTATTTAGCTAAAAATAGGAAGAAAGTACTGATCCATGCTACCATGGATGAACCCTGAAAACATGCCAAGGAACAGACGCTAGGCACAAAAGGCCACATATATTGTATGATTCCACTCATGGGAAATGTTCATATAAGACAAATCCATAGAGACAGAAGCTAAATTAGGATTGCCAGGGGCTGGGGGAAGGAGCCAATGGGAGTGATTGCTAATGGGTAAAGGGTTTTGTTTGGGGGTGATGAAAATGTTCTGGAATTACATAGTGGTGATGGTTGCACAACATTTTTTTTTTTTTTGAGATGGAATCTCGTTCTGTTGCCCGGGCTGGAGCGCAGTGGCATGTTCTTGTCTCACTGCAATCTCCACCTCCCGAGTTCAGACGATTCCCCCGCCTCAGCCGCCTGAGTAGCTGGGATTACAGGCATGCGCCACTACACCCAGCTAACTTTTTGTATTTTAGTAGAGACGGGGTTTCACCATGTTGGCCAGGATGGTCTCGACCTTCTGACCTCATGATCCACCCGTCTCGGCCACCCAAAGTGCTAGGATTACAGACGTGGCACCCTGCATAACACTTTTAATATAATAAAAGCTATTGAATCGTACACTCTTTTTGGAGGGAGGAACCAGAATCTTGCTCTGTCGCCCAGGCTGGAGTGCAGTGGCATGATCTTGGCTCACTGTAACCTCTGTCTCCCAGGTTCAAGTGATTCTCGTGCTTCAGTCTCCCTAACAGCTGGAATTAAAGGCACCTGCCACCACACTCAGCTGATTTTTGTATTTTTAGTACAGACGGGGTTTTACCATGTTGGCCAGGCTGGTCTCAAACTCCTGACCTCAAGTGATCCACCTGCCTCGGCCTACCAGAGTGCTGACATTACAGGCCTGAGCCACTGCACCTGGCCTCATACACTTTAAAATGATTTAAATGATCACTTTTATATTAGATGAATTTTTTCTCAATTTAAAAAAATCAAAATATGCACAATTTTTTTTTACTCTGTACAATGTGTTGAACCTTTTACTCTTCCCTTAATAACACAGTCTTTTCATTTTTATAAAGTCAGATTTATCAATCTTCTCTATTATGGCTCCTTGGACCAATGCATCTTTTATCTCCTTGAATGTATTAAGCATATTTATTTTAAACTCTGAGTCAGAAAATGCCACTAACTAAATACCCTACAGGTCTGTTTCCATTGTTTGTTGTTTGCCTCTGTTTTCTTTCATGCGTATTATAACCTCCTGTGCTCGGTTATATTTGTATTGAGTACTGGAAATTGCATATGAAAAACTGAGGCCAGATGCAGTGGCTCATGCCTATAATCCCGGCACTTTGGGAAGCCGAGGTGGGAGGATCACTTGAGGCCAAGAGTTCGAGACCAGCCTGGGCAACACAGTGAAACCTTGTCTCTACCAAAAACTAATAAAAAATTATCTGGGGATGATGGCATGTGCCTACAGTCCCAGCTACTCGAGAGGTGGAGGGGGGAGGATTGCTTTAGCCCAGAAGATCAAGGTTGCAGTGAGCTATGATAGTGCCACCACTCTCCAGCCTGGGTGACAGAGTGTGACCCTGTCTTAGAAAGAAAGAAAGAGCAAGAAAGAAAGAAAGAAAGAAGAGAGAGAGAGGGAAGGATGGAAGGAGGGAAGGAGGGAAGGAAGGAAGGAAGGAAGGAAGGAAGGAAGGAAGGAAGGAAGGAAGGAAGAATAAATAGGCCGGGCTCGGTGGCTCACACTGGTAATCCCAGCACTTTAGGAGGCTGACGCGGGTGGATCACGAAGTCAGGAGGTCAAGACCATCCTGGCTAACAAAGTGAAACCCCATCTCTACTAAAACTATAAAAAATTAGCTGGGGGTAGTGGCACGCGCCTGTAGTCTCAGCTACTCAGGAGGCTGAGGCAGGAGAAT